AGCTGTTCCAAAATCGGATGCATCATTTGAACCAGACAATGGTTCAGATTTGGAAACTATTCTGATGATGATGATGACAATGATAGTGGTACTGATTTTGATTTTGGGAACCACTATGAAGATGAAGGAACAAGCGAGGACTCTGATATGTACAGAAGGAAAAGTACATGACTTAAGGCTGTAATAGGTCATTCTGATTAATGTGATGCATTTTGGGTCTTTTGTCATTTCCTTTCCTTTGCTGATCTTTAAAAGTGCTGACATGAATCAACGGTTGTTTAAAGATTTATTTTTGGTCTTTTATATTTGATTACAGAAACTTATGACCTAATTGTTAACATGTAGTTTAATCCATAGTTTATGTCATTGGTATGTATGAACAGTAGGTCGTAGTTGCTAAATGATTATGTTTATGGTATATATTTAATTAATCGTTGACCTTGTTTTAATGGCATTAGTTTTGTGTTGCATTTTATTGTTTATATTGCTTATATTTATGCTTGGTACAGGTTAAATGATGATGCGGTCATATGTGAAATTAGAGGGTTACATATGAGGTGGTTTGATTAATGGATATATTTAATTGTTCATGTATGGAAATTTAGCATTTACTGGTAATCTTTTGGTGATGGTTTATGGATATATCATTTTATGATTCTGTAGACTAATTATTTTTTCTACACTAATCTGAAAGAATGATAAGGTAGACTATTTATTTGCTCTTTTTTATAGTGATTCTAATAAGTAAAGAGATAACACACTTCAAGTACTTAACCATATGATATTTCACATTATATTTACATAATAAGCAGAAGGCCATACGGCTACAACCCACACAAACCTAACTTTAACCCTAATCCGAGCTTTGTGGAATAATTCGGAATGGAAAATCGCGTCTGAAAGAAGCTATCAAAGATCAATTTCCTTCGCAAATGATAAAACTGACTTTAAATTGCACAAAAATATTATCGTCGTACAACAGTTGCCACCGTGCGTGACAACCTCGTGGTGTCGCGACAATTGCTCTGTTCTTTTTTGCATATTTTGTTTCTGTATATTCTGTAAATCCTATCTTTCTGTCGCACCACATCATTTTAGTCATGGCACGGGAAATTCCAACATGTAACGACAAATGCTAATGTGGTGCTACAAAATTTTTTCCGTTTTTATTCTTCTTCGTAAAATTGTAACAACATGTAACGACAAATGCTACTGTGGTGCTAATGTAACAACATGTAACGACAAATGCTAATGTGCTGCAACAAAGAAAATTTTTCCCATTTTTATTCTTCTTCGTAAAATTCCAACGTCTTTCAATTTTTATTATCCCATACCTGAAATTGTAATCAGTATAACGAATACTTCACTTACAAGTACAAACATAAAATTACACAAAGTTGAATTGTAATAAGCACAAACGTATTTCAGTGGTACACTTATTGCTTAACACATGTACCATTAATTATTATATGGATTCCTCCTATGACGAATTGAAGTGAAGGGTCTGGGAAATGGCAGTTCCCCAGATTATGTGTGCCGAATTTATTTATCTCCCCCAGTAAATCATCATTTGCGCTTAACATTGATTAACCACCATCATATCATTACATCTCCAACCCACTACATCCATTCCCTTGCAGAATGTCAACCGTCATTTTACAGTCTACAAATAAGGCATTTCACTGACTAAGTTACTCATCTCAAACATTTTCAAAGAAAAACAAAGATTAAAAAAAATCTGACTTCCTTCTATTCCAAAAAATAGAGGTCAGACTCCACGAAAACTCAAAAAAAAAAAAGAAAAAAAAAATATGGATGTAGTAGTGAAAAGGCGAAAAATTTCAACTTCCATGGTTGACATCCTTCCGTCGGAAATGTTAGCGACCATTCTATGTTGCGTTGCTAAGTCATCTCCTGCATATTTATTTCAGTGCAAAATAAGGTAGGATTTCATTTTACTTATCATTTATACTCTGTTTCCCATCCCCCTATACACACGGATTTTAACAATGTAATTTCTGGCGTATGACATGAAAAAAGTTGCAAGACCCTGCGAAGGATAGCCGAAGAAAGGAGGGTCCTTCAACAAATTCACCTCCCTTGGATTCAAACACGAAGGTGGTAACACCGAGAAGAGGAAAACACATTCTTCATGAAGTGCGTGGAGAATGAACATCCTGAAGCTCTGCTTAAGTTTGGATTTGTAAGGCTTCTTTCTTATTACTTGACAATTTTATTCATTATAATATTACAAAAAACTTGTTGATAATTGTTAAAAATTTTCTATTTTACATTACTGTAGCGACAATACTTCAACTATTTGGTGGTTGACGAAGGGTTGAAGAGGTTGGAAAGAGCAACTGCATTGCAAAATACAGAGGTAGCATATATAGTAAGCCTCATATATATATACACCGGGGAAGAAGAAAAAGGTGTTAAGCTTTTGAAGAGCACTATCAACAACATCAGATCTGCAGGGATCGTCCAATGTAGAAGGAAGTTACGTGACTTGGCGAGGTAAAATTGGATGAGAAATAAGTTCGTTGTAGATTATATGCCACAACCGCATTTATTTTGCAAACAAAAACTACAACACGAGAAGAACTTATCTGCATGGGCTGGTCTTTATGATGAGGATGTTGAAAATACAATATCTTGTTAACTTGCAAACGTGTTAGGGAAATAAGCGTGTTTTATACAATAGTAAATGGTCTACTCATCCGTCATGTATGATAAATATTATCTGCATAATGACATTTCTTTTTTTAACTTGCAGATTATGATTTGTTAAATTCGTGTTTCCGTTGTATGTAATAATATGTTTTACAGTTCAAAACAACACACACAAACACAATACTTCACAATATTAGCTGTATTGTTCTCAGCTACTCCATAATCAAACAAACGGGATATTCTCAATGGTAACCCCCTATTATTGCTACGCACCAATGGTAACCCTCTTTTTTTTGGATTATACAAAATGACACTACTTTTCTTTTTTCTCCTAAAGATGACATTAATGGTGTTTTAACATAAAATAATCAATTAAAATTAACTATGGTTAGTTTTTTTGTTTAAAGAAAAAAAGAAAAACATTTAGAAAAATTAACAACCACAACCATCAATCCACACCACCATCTCCACCAGGAGCCACCGCGATATCCCTTCCCCTTTCACTACCGGCGACCCCAATTACCCGACCACCTGGACTCTAGACCGCCGAACACAGACGACCGATTTGCTGTGTTCATAGTCGACCTACCCGCAATAATCTCACTCGCTGAAACCTAATCGGAAAAGGGTGGGATTCGTCGACGGGGCAGGGGAGGGGCTAGGTGGGGGTTAAATTGATGTTAGCAGCTGCCATTGTGGCCGAAATTACAATTGTTGGTGACTGAATTGTTGATTGCAAAGGGAGATTAGGGTGAAGACGGTGGTAATTGGTAAAAATCAAATTGGTGACGGTTTTAAGGTGAGATGGGAAGTGGCCAGCGTTAATTGGTGGCGAATTGACGACTGTAGGTGGCGAATTGGTGGAGTAATTGGTGATGTGTGGGCTGCCGGAGGTTGGGCGGCTGTAGGTTGTTGCGTTGTGGTGTGATGTGGCCACCAAGCCCTCCCCGAAACCACCCAGCCAGCTCTCCATTTTGAAATCGTCGTCACCATATTGCCGGAAATTAAACCTCCGTGAAGGAGGCGAAATCTAGCGAGGTGAACCTTAAAATCGACGTCATCGCAAGCATGGATTGGGTCTTTGGAGGTTGAAGATGAGGTCGGAGTTGAGAATGCGGTGGTGTGTGATGAACACCGGAGAATTGTTGGCGGAGGAAACGAGAGGGCTGGGGTTAGATGGGTTGTATTGGTGGTTTTGGGGGTTGGGGAGGGCTGGGTAGGTGGTTTCGGGGGTCAAAAAGGGGTGGTAGAGGACGACCGGCCATTTTCCGGCGAGATTGAGGGTTGGGGTTAGAGTTCCGGCAAGGTTAAGGGGTGGAAAAAGGGTGGTTGGAATATTGGGTTTTTTTTTTAAATAAAAATCTGTCAAATAAAAGGGGGCATTTTTGTCATTTCGCTATTTTGGTTAACCATGGTTTAATTTTATGTTAAAACACCATCATTAATGTCATCATTAGGAGAAAAAAGATAACTAAGGTCATTTTGTATAATCCAAAAAAAGGGGGGTTACCGTTGGTGCGTAGCAATTGTAGGGGGTTACCATTGAGAATATCCCTCAAACAAACCTATATTAGTTTACGTTGTATCAAAAGCAAAAATTCAGGACATATAAACAGAACAACAACGATAAAATTTTACAACAGCACCAATAAAAGAATAGATCAATATGGATTTCAATTCTGACAACGTCTACTCTGACCTTCAAATCCTACATATGCTGAGAATGTACCACCCTGATTACAAGAAAATTATGCGAATCATAAGGTGCACATTCAGAGGAAACTGTGCCGCCGTAGCTTGCTTCTTTGCTGCGTTTTTCGCCCTAGCAGCCTTTTCTTTTCCCTTTTTCTTTGTGCAAGATTGATACATTACATCGGTTGTACAATGGGCCTTCTTCTTGGGCAATGGTGGATCCCTAATCACTGCTGGTACGGAACCATCACAACTCCCCACAACGGCACTAACTGGTGTAGGGATTGTATTTGGCAACCCAGATGCAGGTGTGGCTGGTGTATTTATACAACCAGGCCCCTTGTTCAAAGCCACAGAAGAAGGCGTTCGAACAACACAATGTACGCCATCATCCTTACCTTCATTTTCATTATCCTTTGCCGCCTGTTCCTATTTTTTGGCAACCATTGCCAACACTTCATCGACTCTGAGGTCCATCAATTACAACAACTCTGCCACAGCCTTAACACCCTCCTTACAAGCTGAAGCCTTAGAGAAAATTGGTTCATACATCCCCATCAATATGTGATATTGCCTGGCTTCATCGGTTTTAAGTGGATAATGGTAAGCTACTTTCACTCTCGTGTGTGTTTCCTTTAAATGTCCTTCCTCCAACGACGTAGAATATACTTCTCAGGAACAAAAGAAACACCGCAATGGTCATACACAAAGATCATATGTCGACAAATGATTCCATGGCACTCAAAGTGTTTACAGTCACAACTTGCTTCATATGTATTACTGTCATAGTGCACCCTGTAGCATCTCCGAATCTTAGTCACATATTCTTTCTTTGCATGTTTTGGCTTGATCCACACTTGGTCCTCAATAACAAACTCAACTTGATTCTCACCAACTTCATAGTCATCTAGGCGACGCACGTACAACATCCTCTGGCACTCCCGCTGAACTTCTTTGAATTTGGCGTCCGTGTAACACTTCCGGAACACTTCCTCCCCTGGGAAATCGGTAGCTAAATGCCTGACATACCGTATTGTGTTGGAGTCCACAATTCTTTCTGACTCGACCCTTATCTGCATTGCATCGCAATATCGAAGCACAAATTCAGACAACGTTGTATGCTTGTCAACATAACCTTTGAAAAGGTGATTGAAACTTTCCGAAGGTTGGGTCGTTTTCATCCCGGCCCAGAATAAATGCTTCAAATACGCTGGGATCCACATGTTCCTTTCCTCATACAGCCCTACATTTCAAAAAATTTCAATTACTAGCTTATCTAAAACCAAACAAACCTCATACACCTGGACTCCTATGAATGGTACATTCACTGTCTCCTAAATGTGACACAAGTAAGAAGCTTCCAGTCCCCTGCGCACAACCAGCTACACCACCTCTGCATACTCTAACATAAATCACTAACAACCACAAACCAAAAAAAAAAAAAAAAAAACCAGAACACTTGGACGTGTAGTACCTTCAAGCCAACTATTATCTCCTAGTTTATAATAATCAATTGCGTCCGCCCAACGATCTACAAATTCATCAGCATCTAAACTACCATAAATGATACTTTCAAACTCATCCTTTACAGCTTCATAGTCCTCATGCTTACCAACATACCTCGAAAACTTCTGTAGTATGTGCCATATGCACCACCTATGGCAACTCTCAGGCATTGTCAAGTTTACAACTTTCCTAATCGCCGGATCTTGATCCGTTAGGATTGAGATAGGAGCTTTACCCCCCATGCAATGTAGCCAAGTCCTCAATACCCACTCACACGTCTCCGCCGTCTCCCGAGAGATTAATGCACACCCAAACAAAATACTCTGCCCATGATGGTTCACACCGATAAACACAGCAAAGGGAAGGTGAAATTTGTTTGTAAAATATGTACTGTCAAAACACACAACATCTCCAAACTCCTCATACGCAGCTCTACTCCTCGCGTCTACCCACACAACATCTTGTAATGCGTCGTCCTTCCAAAACCGACATAGATGGAAAAAACTCTGATTGTCGGCACTAATTTTGTTGAAGTATTCTATCATGCCATTTGCATCACCCTTAGTAAGCTCAAGTCTGGTTTTCTGAGCCACTGCATTCTCAAAGTCTCTTTGCGTAAATGTCATCTCCTCCACTCCATTACGCTCCCGAGCATAACAACTATACATTTGGGATTCCTTCACCTTAGACTTCTTCGCCATATGCACCTGCTTGACCAAGTGATTGTTTTTCACCATCAACTCGTGCTTCCGGTACATTGCTACATCCTTTGACTTTCCCGGAGTAACAATGTGACCTTTGTGCTTCAAATTCAGCCTTCGAACTACCCAGTTCCCTTCCTTATTAACACTGGCATACAACTTCACAGGACAACCACACTTTTTAGTTTTCCGTTTCTTAACTATCTCCTCATCTTGCAACAACCCTTCCTTCAGTGCATCCTGTTTACGCTTCCTTGAAGGATAACCATAACAATCACAAGTCCACTTAGCATTCCTTCTCTCCTTACAACACTTTCCCTTTTCCAATTCCTTCTTCACATCCACCCACCCAGAATCAGCCCTCACTATACCAAAACCCTTTTGTCTAGCATAACTCCAGAAATAGGTATCCAACTCATCCCAACCCCCAAATACCATGCCCAAACTTGAGGGTGATACTTCCTCTTCCACACCAAACACAGTGTTCACCAGTACCGTGTTCTTCTTTGGGGTTATGAATGAGGAACCTCTTGCCTCTGCCCCTTCATCTTCAGCACCACCCTCAACTTCTACTTCCTTAAAATCTGACCCCTGTATTTCTCCCTCATCTCCTTCTCCTTCTTCATCCTCCTCCTCATCTCCTTTTGTAAATCTATCTCCACTCTCTAACCCCTCCTCATAAACATATACATCAACCTCACTATCTTCTCCAAGTGCCTCACCAACACCCACCTACAACACATATACATCCACAACAGTCTAGTGGATCATTATATCCCAATAACAACCAGCACAAACAATGACAAACAACACAACATAACATAATATAAAGAACAACATCATAACATTTTTTATGCCCATTTTCAATGACTACACACACCATTAAGCCAATATTTGAAAACCACTGCCATTACTAAATAGACCCCAAAATGTCCATCAATTGTCAAACTAAATTCACCAACTATCAATCAGAAACGACAACTAAACAAAATTTAAAGATACGAAAACTGACTTATCCCAAATTAAACCACTCATTTAATCACATTACAATACCCACATAACAATCACCATTCAAGCAATATCCATAATAATTCCTGAATTACACTACCAATTACTTAATATAATTAATCAATTATAAACACTCAACATGTACTCATACTTACAACAATGTGTGCTACGGAGTCACAAACCCTAATCTCTTACCCAACCTATAGTTTTATATTTCATTAACAACCAACAAATTAACCAAACACATCTACCACAACGTAATAAATTAGACACTTACATTGTCAGAGTCGAATCGCAACTCCCTTGCGCAACCACGCCCGTCTTCGCCATCTTCCCGCAATGCTTCCGCTAAATCGACCCCCAACATGTCTGCCAGCCGACGATTTCCCATTCTTATAATCTACTTTTTCATCAATTTATTGCAATTTTGACTTTACCATTGACGAAATAATGGATTTCAGCTGAGCATTCGTCATCTCCATTGAAGAGCTTCTTCCATTTTCCTTTTTTCACTTTTTACTGACAACATATGCTTTTGAAGGAGTCTTTTTTCCGCTTCAATTTTTCACTCCCCGTTGCAATGCACTATACTGTTACACACTTGGCAGCTAAATGACCCACTTGCATGTTACAAAGTTCCAACTAATTGCAATATTGCCATCCTATAGGTTTCTAAATCAATAGCTGCTATGCGCTAGTAGTTATCCTATGAATAGTGTGAGGAAAATTATATCCTTAAAAAGTTTGTTTACCTATATGCTCCTATAGATATAATGTTAATTGTAATACCCTCATGATTGCTTTAAAAGGATTTAATATACAATTCATACTAACAAGATGTTTTTTTAAAATACCTATTTTGCTCTTTTTAAAATACAAAATAAGAAAATCTAAGACATTACCGCCACCGTGAAAACGGCTAAGACAATTATCAAAGACACACAGTGGAAGACTATCTTTTAAACCATCCAAACAAATCAACTTAAAAGTCAAACCAAACGAAAGTAAAGTCAAACAAAGTCAACCTACAACTTGGAACCATTGGGCCCTCATGAAAACCGAACAATACTCAAAACCCTTTGCGTTAATTTCACAAGCATGATAAAATAAATAATATTCAAAGCATTTAAAGCACATCATATTCCTATGGAAACTAAGCATGATTCGTTCTTCACTCATGCCCATCATGAATATGCTCCATCACCTGAAAAGCTCCTCTTTACTTGTCCCCACTACTCGCCATTAGAAATGGATCGTCGTAGGGCCAAGATAAAGACAAGGTCAAACAAACATATAAACACACAATCAGCAATGCTGAGTACATAAGAGTAACTAAAACACACTAACATGCTTTCATCCTATCATCACACAACTTACCTTGTTGTACCTATGTACAAGCATACAACTTACAACACAACCACACAACAAATAACTAGTTTAATTATTTAGCTTGATTACGCATCGAACGGGTTTCCCCCCTAACCTTCCCTAATAAAGGGGTACTAACACGAGAGGTAACCGTGCCAGTATAAAAGAACCACTTGTAAGTGGCGGAATTTCTGCACATAATAAAAAGGAATATACAGTGTCCTGTCCTCCCAGTAGAAGTTGTGGTCAAATATAAAGTCGCATAACTCCCCCCTTATGTTCATACTCGAGGTATATACGTTCCAAAAGTTTTGGTGCGTAATCTCTTTCACTTTACGTTGTTTCCATATTTTTAGACTTTGGTGATGACTCTCAAACCATAATACAATCATACATTATAATCATTCAAGCAATCAAACATACCAATTTAATTCTTGAATAATTAGTGACCACATAAATTAAATGTTGAATCCTTCATAAACTACCTCGGTGTTAAATAACATCTTAAGCGCATAAAGCACCACAAATCCTATCCCTCGGTGTTTAGAACACCTTAAGTGCACTTAGGCACCAAAATATAATTTAATCCTCGTGTACATAGACACTTAAATAGCTCCTTCCTCATTCTTATAACATCAATAAAATATATATGAACCATAATAAAATTCCTTTTTAATATTCCAAACCAAATTAAACATTTAGTTTAATTAAACATGCTCTTCATCATGCCAATAATAAAAGTGTGGTTCCTATTCAACATGCCAACATAATTAATTCCAATCATCGATTCACCACAAATAATTCATACTTCACAATTCATTCACCAACATCAATCCATACAACAATTCCAATCAATATCTATCATGATACTACCTTGGAATTAATTAATCAAAGCCTAGCATGCTTCTACATACTCAAATAATTACTAAGTACGCGAACGTACCTTGAATATGATCTCAAAATTGCCACGACTAAATGAAATCACCCACTTGAAATTCTCCTACAACCCAAAATTACAAAGAGACATTAATACCTAATCAATGTAAATTTCCAGCAATATATACTCTTTCAATCACTCATAAACCCTCTAAAATAAGCTGAAATTTAATTTAAAACCCTTAATTTTATTCCCAATTAATTGGTAATTAAAAACCCTTTCAAGAAACATAATTATAGCTTATATATAAAAATTCCAGCTTTATTAAATCGTTTAAAATTGTTTTAATATTAATTTAAAACACTTATTTCAATAATTTAAATCATCCATAAACAATTTCCATCAATATACATAAAGTTAGGGTTTATAATTTGGGGTTTTTTTTAATTCAAAACCAAATCTGAAAATTTATATACATCATACTTAAAATCAAACATCATATAAATCATCACAAAACCCAAAAACAATAATTAGATCAAGGGTGGATATAATTAAAAATCAAAAGAAGAAATTTTTTTTTTCCCGAAAGGGGCGCACGACCACCAAGGCCAGGCTGTTGCTGCGCCCGCCTGGTGGCCGCTGCTGCAGGCGAGTGCTGGTGGTGGTGGCAGCCGACCGGTGGTGGCTTTGGTGGTGGTCGGCCGGTGGTGGTGTGTGTGTGGGTGGTGATAAAACAAAATAAAAATAAAGGGGAAGGGGAAAATAAGAGAGAGAAAGAGAAAATAAGAGGAGAGAGAAAGAGAGTGTTACCTTGGGTATTCTTCACCTTGGGCCATGTGATGGGTATTTATACTCCCTTTCTAAAACCCTCATAGACTTAAATTCCCTTTTTACCCTTAATGATCCCTTTCCTATTCAAACTAACATTTTGACTTTCCTTAAATACCATTGACTTTAAAAATTACCTTTGTTTCGGGGTTTTCTGATGTCCTGCGGGAGAGTTACGATTCCGGGACTGGATCCGTGCGCCTGTACCTGCAAAATAACGGAAACTCCGGTTGGTGGGAGTTTTGCCTCCGACGATCAAGTTAGAACGTGTTTAGGGGTAAAAGGTGCGGAAAGTAAAGGTGATCTGGTTGCTCCCAAGAGAGGAGTGATCAGGCTAGTTGCGGTGGGCAACCTTGGAAGGTGTGCAATTAATGCTAAGTAAGGTCTAGCAATTAGTATGCACGTGGGGTAATCTCTGAATGAGTTAAAATCTCCCCTTTTATGGAGGCTAATTACCTGTATTTATAGCCTCGAAGTACGTGCCCAATACTAGGTTAAATGGTAAACCTAGGACTGATTGGGCTTGCCTTAGGATTCGGGCCTTGTTGGTCATTTTCCAGGTTGGCAATCTATGTGCCACGTGGCGTGGCTTGGTTGGTCATGTTGGACCTCCTGGAATATAACACGTGGCAGTCCCTGATTGGTCCACGTGGCTGACACGTGGCAGGAGCTGATTGGTCCACGAGGCGGGAAAAATCCCCTAAACATTTGCCCCTCACTGGGGTCACGTAGCTCGTCACGTGATGCCTGTGACAGGTGTCGGCCTGTGGTAGGCCGTCTGTTTTTCTTTTTCCTACCTATTTTTTGGATTATAAGATGTAACCCTTCAAATTCTAGGATAACCCTATATAAGGGTGCTTGACCAAAGCCTTTTGTTCACATTTTGTGAACTTCACAAGAGTATTCGGACCCTTGAACTTGTGCTCTTAGACCTCTGGACGATTGATAATCAACCGACTGCTTACACTAGCCGACTGTTTGTAGTGACCAGTTGCTTTCACCGGACCAACTACTTTAGACTTCCTTCTCCTTTCTCAGAAAACTTCAAACTTCAAGTAACCATCTGTTTTTCTCTTGCACTTTTTCATTTCTTTGCCTTTTCTTTTGAAAATATGGTATCCCAAAAGCACCCGGCACGACCTAAGATAGTGATCAGTCGGTTACCGCGGACGGCTGAATCTAGGAATAGGAGTGCCGCCTGCCCTTTTTTGGACCAAAATTTTCCCTGTGCTCCAAGTCCAACTGTCTCTGTGTCTGTGCAGGACACTATGGCCAGAACAAAGAGGACGACCAGATATACAAATTCAGACGACTCCTCGTACTATGTTCAAATGAGCGAGCTTTCAGACCGGTCGCCTAGTGCCCCAAGCACTCCAAGTGATTCTATCTTTGGAGAATCAGAGGAGGTTCAAGAGACCATTCCTATCCTCGTTGATATGTCCGGACAAGAGTCGGCCCTTTCTGAGAAAGTGGAGTCGGCCTCTTCCGGGAGTTCCAGCGACTCTAAGTCTAGCTCCTCCAGCCGGCATTCTCCAGATTCAGAAGAGAGGCATTCTCGTCTTCATGAGGCGAGAGCATCTCATGCCGTTGAAAAGGGGGACGACTGGGCAGAGCCGTCTGCTTCTCATAGGGAGTTGAACACTCCATACTATTGCCATGTCCCAAAGGGCAGGATTAAAGCCATGGCCGAGAAAATACGGACCTTTCAGGCGGAACATGTAATGGGCCCTGATTAGTTTCTAACAGTGTCGGATGCTGAAGATACAGTGGTCTGGCCTGAGGGGGCCAACTATGCGACGCCTGTTTTGGTTGCTACGAGGCGGCCATTAAGGCTGGACTAAGATTCCCCTTGCATCCGTCCGTTCAACAAATCCTGGATGGGTACCAGGTGGGGCTTTGGCAGTTGGCCCCAAACTCGTGGTTCAACATACTGGGATATGTGGCCGGCTGCGAAATGCATGGGGTTGGACCAAATTTTGAAGCGTTCGCCCACATGAACTACCTGAGTCGGACCCCCAAAGCAAGTGGTACCGGCTGGTACCAGATTTCCAGCCATAAGGGTTATTTGATGACCAGGGGGAAGGAGAATAAATGGAAGGACTGGAGGAACACCTTCTTTATTGTCTCCACCCCCGACAAAATTTTAAACATGAGGTACATTAGGTGGAACAAGGATCCACCTCTCCTCGCAGGCGGCTCTGTCCTGCCGCCTGTTCCTCGTTAAGCTAAGGAGGAGATCCTTGATCGAGGACTCTTCAAAGTAGAGATTAGAGCCAACTCTACTACGGGGGTTCGAGAACTTATCCCCTTAAAATGCA